TACTTCACTCAATGCAATTGAGAACAATTAGAAGAATATCAACTAAACTTGATTAAAAAATATAATTTTCTATCTGATTTGTAGTTTAAATTTGGCTTTATTAACTTGTAAACATCAAATGCATGCAAATAATACTTTGCACAATTAGGTATAGCTTTGCAAGAACCATGAACTTGAGGGTGTTGTTTTCTGCATCTTGAAAAGATATTCTTATGTTGAACTAAAATACACATTTTTCTTTTCTTTCGTTATGTAAACAATTTAAGTTTACAATAAAAAAATTATCAAGCAAGCGAAAAAATAATTGCAACATTGTTGTTTAAATTAAAGGTTGAAAACGAAGTAGCTTATGTTTAAATGTAACCTTCTTTCGAAGAAGTAAATATATTCTTATTCGTATTACTGTAAAAACCCTGATTGATTGAATACAAGTTTACAATGACACTTACATGTGTATGTACAGCAACATTTCCTGTACGTTTATAAAGTTGTCGAATTTTACAAACAAAAGTTTTCCCTACAAATAACGCTCTACAAGTTTCCTTAATGCTTGAACCGTAAATAAGTTCATGGTAAATAACCTTCCACCGAATATCGTCCGAATCATTTTAATCAGTAAACTAGTAAAATCAACAATGAACAGCCTACGAACACTAAAAGCGATTTAAAGTTCGCGCGCTTGTCAGTGTTTGTCACGCTATTTATTTTTCAACTGTTTCGTTGTAATTGTGAGCTKAGAAAGTTAAGTAAACCGAAACTAGTTTTTATAATAAGTTCGTTTTGTAGTGCGATCACAAACTGTAGGAATTTAGCCCACAGACATACATTAACCATGGTTTTTATACTTAGATAATTTTACCCGCTTCAAGCTGTGCCAGGTTACCAAGTGGTCGAGTGAATGACGGTCGAGTGAAAGTTTAGCGTCCGAAAAAAAATTCGAGAGTTCGCACTCATTTGAAATTGGGTGTAAAAAATGCCATTAATAATTTTCATTATAAAGCTTATTAATAATGCACGAGCTATTACTCCAATAAGGGCTGTCCCTTTAATCAAGCCATTGACCTTGTAAATCAGATTTACAACACGGTCGTCACCATTGAGACAACCCAACACCAGCAAAGGTCTCAGTTTTAGTATCGCATCATAGACTTTCACTAGGTTTTGAAGCAATCAAAGACGGATAACAGAACTCGCTTATGCAACAGATGGCTTGCTTTCCATGTGGGATGGATAATTAGTCAAAATGTTCTGTGTTGCAGTAAATTGCGCATGCTTAATAGCGACTAAACTCAGCAGTTACCTTAATTGTCATTTTTCTCGCTGTAATTCATGTTAATTTGTGTTGGAGTTTTATAAGTCCCATACAATACGGCCGCTCATGTTGTAAACTATACTAAACAAACTTGGATAAAACAACTGACCTTGAAATAAGCGCTGGCAAGCTCTTGCATTTGRTACCACGGCTTCAGATCCAAATAAGGAACAATGTTTTTGAAGAATCCAGTCATCCCAGTAAACAACTCAGGCATGGCGTATTCAAGAGTGTACGCATACACATTGGTGTCAAAAACCTCTTCTGACGGCTTATTAAATTTCTCTCTGAAATGCTCATTGAATGCACTTGTCAGTATCCCTGAAGTATGTCCAATCAGGCCCACATCGTAATCCGACGTACAAGTAGCACTACCATAAGGTCGAGGGAAGCAAACGCCTGCAGGCAGAATGTACTTGTTACTGCTATCTTGCTGACATGCAGTAAGTGTCTTTCCACTTTGGATGAAGAGGACATATGTAACGTAGAGGTAACGGGCTTCAGTGATGGCGAGAAGCTTCACACAATTATTAGCTCTGTAATCTTGGTTTGATTTGGTTGTCTTCCAGTCTCGGTTGCGAAGGAAAAAGTTTTCGATCCTTGTTGCTGCGTACTATAAAAAGAGATTATTGTTACAGTTCGTTCAGCAAGTCCACCGATAAGGCAATGGTCTGCTAGATAAACCGGGTATCCTGTGCATGCATGCTTTTTCGTTTTCTCCACTTTCTTAAGGCGGTGGAATGTAAGACAAAAATATCSTCATCATTGTCACGCAATGCGTTACAGGTTTTTGATGGATGTTGCGCGCGTTTTCCACCTCGCGATATCAACTGGTCACGCAAAATGAAAATGTTTGCGCGCTGAGCAAACTATGAATCCTCACTGATTATATGCTCGTTATTTTCCATACGCAGGTATTTTTTATATATTTTATGAAGTCGAGTTTATTTTCCTTGTTCAAATCTTCCTCTAAAATCTTCCTTTGTTTGTGACTATCAGGCGTAGTTGTAATTTGACCAATGAAATGAGGGCTTAGGCAAAAATGTTACGTTACAATTTGACTGTGTGCTGAAAAACCTGCAACAAAAACAAAATTAGTTGCGGAAGGCAGACTGAGTGTTACTTCGCKCAATATTATTTTTCAACGCACAACAATTTTTTTTGCGTGGCAAGGTGAGGTCGCTAGGTGAAACGTGCAACATCGCTCAAAAACTTGCAAAGCAACAATGTTGTGCGACATGTTGAGGGTTCTTGTTCTTGCCGCCATGATGATATATAGGTAAGTTTATTGTCCTACGAGGGTATTCCACGATTACTTCAGCGGAGTCAGGGACAAGTTCTATATCTGCTTATGGAGGGAACTTAACGTGGAATTCCCGCGTCAAGCCAATCAATTTTCCTTGAATCGTATAGCAATTTAGCTCTAAAATGGACAAACCTAAAAGGACCTCCATTGTTGACAAAGATATCAGCCCGCAGCAGTCTACTATAGTGCTATATTCTTAGCTAAGATAATATTTTCCCGGTGATCAAAACTTGTACGTTGCTGGACGGGCCTTTTCTCCATAACAGTTGATATATTCTTACGTAAAATTCTATTTAAATTTACTTAAGATTTTATTTGTTAATTAAGTAAGATTCAAAAAGATATAGTTGGGTAGCTACGGTTCGWCGCGTCCCGTCATACTACTGCTACTATAGTTGGTTTGGTCGGATGAGAACAATCTTTTCGTAATCTTTAACTTTCAAAATTTACTATAAACAACCYACCTCAAAATAGTCGCCGGGACGAAATCGTCTCATTTCAATTTCAAATTGTGGTTTCATTATTTTTCCCTTTTCTGTTTGAAGGCAAAAGTACTCTACCACGCATGTCTGGAACCATGTCACGTCCTTTGCGTCATCAGTTGCGGYCAACGCTCTTATTTATAGAAATAATTCAAGTATGTGTTAGCCACTACGAGGTTGARGACAAGGCGCGGAATGTTTTAAGGGAGGATACCATCTTGGAAATACCTCTCCTAAAATATTCGAGATGTCATACCATCTCAACTTAGTAGGGCGCTTTCAATGACTCTGAACTGGTCGGCTAAACTTGTCCATTTATTGTCCATTTACTTGTACAAACMAGAAGAATTAAGTACTAACTAGAYRATCATGGATMGCTTACKTGGGCTTCTTGTAGCTGCGACAATGGTATTTCATTTTCACGATACAGTCTTTGTTTGTAATAAGTCAAGACAGAATTAAGTTAACATAAGTTATTTATTACATCATAATTTTTTTACCGAACTGATCTGAACTCAAGTAACTTCTTTAGATATCATGTCTTTCTCAGTTTTCCAAAATAAAATTTAAAACGGGACAATTTTTGCCGYCGTCTGTCAGCCATTTTGCTTTCATTCTGAAACTGCAGACCATCTGCAACKCAGGCGCTACCAATTTGAAGCATCTTCACGACGACGAAGAAGAAAAGCCACTTGCATTTTAAGACGTGAGCTTCCACAGGAAGCCCAAGTAATTAACTGRAATTTTATCCATTAAACTGATTGAATATCTGTATAATTGAACATAATAGGCCTTTTCGCTTTTAAATTTATCTGGCCAATCAGTTCTGATTAAATGGAAAGCGCCCAGTTCATGCCCAGTTACTCGAGTTCTTTCGTCGAAGGTCAAAGAGCTAATTGATAAACTAGGAATCTTGACATAGTCTACTACATTCAACACATAAAAGGCATATAGAAAAATCCGGTTTATTTAAAAATTAAAATGATTTTACCCTTTGTCAAAGCAGTCGGCTTTTTGTTGTGAGTTCAACAAGTTACAYGGTTCTGCTGTGACCCAAAAGCTCTAAAAAAGCAAATAAAAAAWTCGTGCATGCAAACAGGTGGTCAGCTGGTACAAGATTATAAATTATTAACGATGATAAGACTCACAATTCCATGTTATYAAATAAACAAYTTGAAATATCATAAAGGAAAATATTATGGCTGTGATTCAAAATGATGCCACTTGACCCTCTAGACGTATATAAAAATGGGACACTGGTCTGGTTTCTCCATAGTACGTTCTCCGTTAATTATAGGCGGTTTCGGAGTATAAAATGTAAAGAATCATATCGATCCTGCTGGGGTTAAAAGAAATTCTTCCACTTCAGAAGCGAAGGATCTATACATGTATATATTTTTACCACATATGATAATTTTCTCGCTTTCTGATTGGTCGAGAGCCGTGGTAAATAAAAGTGCTTACCACGGTCGCAACACTTAAGAAAAACAATGGACTTTCCCGACATTTCTGTCTGCTGATTGGAAATTTAATTCCTGACGGGGCAAACAAAGCCAAAAGAGTACGTTGAATTAATTAGATGTTTTGGTTCAGTGTGAAATGAGATTTCAGTTGTTCTTTTAGCTTGCAAAACGCACGCAGTACTGGTAAAAAAATATTGTGGTAAAAAAAACAAATTCACGATAGTTTCTTGTGGTATGTCTTCTTATTTACCACAGTTGGGATCATCTCATCGTCTAGATTGTTGTAGATCCACAACAATTTAGACGATTCGATGACACAACTGTGGTAAATAAGAGGACATACCACGCGAATCTATCGTAAATTTGTTAAATTGAAAGAATTCTACCAAAAAGTTAAAACAAAAACATATTGGACTTGGACACATTTTAGGCTAATCTATCAAAAGAAAAAAAAAAAATGAAACAGATTTTAAAAAAAAGATATCTTTTTCGGTCTAGCCTTATAAGCTTAGCATCCACTTAAACTCAGGTCTTCAAATTCAAAATGCTTACCTTGGTAAAAACAAATGAAATAAAAAGCCAAACCAAATCGTTCTGTAGTTGACCCATCCTTCCTCACGTAATTTGGTCGAAATAACTCGTAGCCTTAACAATACATAGCTATATACTGGTATCAATAAACCCAGTGATGCGTTAAGGGTCCCTGTTCAATGCCAATCAATAAGTATTAAAGTATCTGGATACAGTTGTTTAGAACACCGACCGGAACGAAACAAACGGGTCAAAAAGTAATTTAAGTTGGTCAGATCGAAATAATATTACATGATTAAAGGGATTCAAATTCATATTGAGTAAGTTTTTTATGGGGAAATCCAGGAAAACRCTTTTACAGCTATTTCAAACAAATTAAAGCCTATCTTTTTCCGCGATATCTCAGGGACATAGTATTAGAGGTATTGCCTAACTATATCCAAAGTTTGGTCGAAATTCATCGAGGAAAGATAACATCATGCGGTACTTAACTTGGAGTTTCGGCAGTGTACACCAATTCGTTGAGGAGTTAGAGGTATGAAGCAAAAGGTATGTTTTTAGTGCATGCTAGCTCTTTTGAGGTAAACACATTCGGACAGCCTTAAAAATATAGGGTTTACAAAATTTAAATCTGCCAAAATGTCGTCTGTTATTCCCTCCAGGCCCGTAGGCTACTTTAGAAATGGTTGGGGGTTCGGTTTTTTTCATAATGCGGATCTAAATTAAATGTTCAACTAAATAAGTTCAATGCATAGGTATGTTTAAGAACTCGCTGCTAGAATGGGCAGTTCATAAAATAACAAGAGAGACAGGCAATACAATTATCCATTTTGCTGCACATGGTAGTAAGGAAAATGGACAGATTGCTCTTGCTCCTTCAAAACCTACGACGTACTCGAGTCCAGCAGAGGAGAAGGACTGCATCTTGACCATGAGAGAAGTTCAAGAGATGGGAATTCGTGCTCAACTGGTTGTCCTCAGCTGCTGCTACAGTGGTCGAGGAGACATCAAGTCTGAAGGAGTTGTAGGAATGACTCGAGCCTTTCTTGCTGCAGGAGCTCGTGCTGTTGTAGCGTCATTGTGGGCCATTGATGATACAGCAACAATGTTCTTTATGTTGAAATTCTATTCCCATCTTAAGAATGGAGAGAGTGCAAGTAAGAGTCTGCAGCAGGCAATGAAGGACATGAGAGATATATACGAGGAACCAATGTACTGGGCTGGATTCTTTCTGATTGGAGACGATGTCACCATCACAGTGTGATTGAACATTAATTCGATAACTCAACTACTTTCACTACGTTCACTTAGTCTTTTAATTGTCCAATTATTTCTTTATAAAGCTTACCATAGTTGCAAGAACATAGATTCTTAAGGTTTCTTTCTATCAGAAACCTGCAAGGGACTTGAAACCTGTAACGCCCGTACATTTCTTTAGTACCAAGCGTCGGAACA